CTAAGGACAACCTACCTACTCATAGGGCGCTTGCCATAAAGCAGTATTTCACATATTATATTCACTCATATGTTGTTAATGAGAAGGAAAACATGCTGTGTTGAAATTTAATGGAGACTTGTACAATAATAATTATTAAACATTGGTCGCCAACTAATTAGTCTCCCCTATAGAATATAGCACCATAGCCTCACTAAACGACGTACTGCTTTTATGGTTTCAAACAATAAATATATTCGGTGTGTACAAAACTTCTAATAGACTTAGGAGTTACTTTTAAATATGTTTATGAATCACCAAAATATATAACTTAAAAATCAATGTGCTCTTCACCGCCCACAAGAAACATTGTTATTCCATTCTAATTTTATTTTTTAAGTTATAGGCTAATTTTTTCAGAATTTCCGGTATGAGGTTTTATCATTATTTACATTTTTTATACATGCGCATTAACATGGTCCTTATTGTTGTTGTCATCAAAAAAGAACCCCCAATTTATGGTTGACGATATTCAGTCACCCCCCCCCACGAGGATGTCATGTGGCACAAGGCCTTTTTTAACGTGGGCATTCCGAAAGGACTTCAGGGCCGGTTTTATCTCCCCGAAGCAGACTCTGGCTTTCGGCGTAGCCTCCTTCGGGTTCCTCCCGTCCGTAGGAAGAGAGTTTAACCGGACAGTCGGTTCAGAGTTGAACGACTGACGCCATTTCTTGCTCCAATTTGTGGTTGACCGGGGCAAGAAATGGCTGATAAACTTTAATGCCTCACAAAACATAACTTCTCTCTTTTGCCCACCATAGAAGACCCTGTATCCCATTAGAACGTCTGATGCTCAACACCACGAGAGCGCTTCTCTGCAACTGTTTGGTCTCAATCTGAATTGGAACAAATAGATTGAATTAAGAGTTTCATCTGCCGGAAGGTAAGTTAGTTCTATATGTGTCCCAGCAGAAAGTTTTTCTCGCCTGAGTCCATCTTTCAAATCTATAAATCAACCATTCGCACTTGCATGGAATATTGCTGCCATATATGGTCTGGAGCCCGCCGCTGTTCGTCTCAAGGTTCTCGACAAAATCCAGAGACGGATATGCAATGTGGTTTGTCGTGACCTGGCATCTCGTCTACAGTCACTATCTCACATACGTGCCGTCGCTTCCCTCTCTCTTTTCTACAAATACTTTCACTATCTGTCTATATTTCTGATATGAGATATTATGTACACTATTTACATTATTCGGACTATTGTCCTCATCTTTATCGACATATTCATTACAACGTTTCGGCCGTTGTACGCTCCGACCTTCTTCAGTTGGTTGGAATGTCGAACTTAACCCTTTATTTTGCTCACTGGGGCAGACTGTTCTAGTTCCATGTGTCATGTTTTAATGGATGGCATATGGCACAGTGGATAAAGGTGTTGGTTAGATCCAGTGACAAGAACCAAAGAGTGTGAGTTCAATACCCGGTTAAAGCAGTGGAGAACTCGGAGAGGGGAATTAACAGGAGATAACTGATAACTGACATCCATTAAACATGGCACGTGGAAGTAGAACAGTCTACATCAGTGAACGAAATAAACGGTTCAGTTCGACATTCCAACTACCTGAAGAAGGCCGAAGCGTACAACGACCGTAACGTTGTAATAAATATGGCGATAAAGATGAGTAAAATACTTTCACGGTAACTACTCTGACCAGCTACTATCGCTGGTTCCGAAACTACATGAATTTAAGCGTGCTACTAGGTTGGAATCTCAGTCCCACCCTTTCACTGTCGAAACTGTTAAATGTAGTAGTCAGTTCTACTCCAATTGCTTCATGTCTCGCACTTCCCGTCTGTGGAACTCCCTTCTTCTTACTTGCTTCCATGATAGCTATAATCTTCAATTATTCAAATGCAATGTCAATCGTCATCTCCAGATGCCTTGATCTATTCCCTGTCTTTCTCTTTATCCCTTCCTCTATCACGTCTCTTTACTCTTGCTCCCACTCTCTGTAACCCAATTGTGTGCTAGTGGCACTCCCCACTTGCTTGGGGTGAAATTCTTAAAAAAAAAAAAAAAACTTTCAGCTGTTGTGCACCCCCACCGCCACCGTCCCGATGTATGTCGATCCGAGGAAATCTACAGCGAATATAGAACAGAACCATTTATTCAAGTTAGTGGATTGTTTATTTTTTTCCACTGCTCGCTGTTTAGGGATATATCGTGTAGTTCTTATTTATTACTGCCCTTCTATTGGTAAAACCATTTTCAATGAGTTCAAGTACGTACTCCTCGGTGATGTGGTTTGAACTCACAATTAATATTAAAATTTAATTATACATATACATAACCCGCCTGCTGATGAATTTGCTGTCTTTTGTCCTTCTTGACTACGCTTACTGAAGCTCCTGTTTTGTTACAGCTGCTGCTGCTTCTTTTAATGAGCTGTTGTTATTTATCTTCTTTTCGTTACTGGCGGCTTCAATATTGTATTTATTTCTACACTAGGCCTACTAAAGTGATCCTCATAGCTTAGCATGTACGCCGATTTACGTTTAACTCTGCAATATTCTTCCGTGTTCAATATTTTTCCCTTCGTTCCTGAATGTCTGATGACTACCCCTTTCCCGTCCAAATATGACCAGCCGTTCCTGATTTTCTTGCCTGTCCATGCATTACCGTCTTTCGATGTTATTCCAGTCTTACTTTAGGATGCGGCTAGTTTCACCTATATATTCTTTTTCAAAACTGCATTGAATGGAGGGTACACTGTTTTGGGGCGTGTTAGGCTTGGAACATCACCATTATCATTCCCGTCCTCCTCATCATCATTCCCTTGACTTTTGTAATCGTTGGGGTCCGAATGCAAAAGGCACATTAAATCTCCTCCACATCGGTCTATCAACGGCAGTCCTCAGCAATTCTGGTAGAGTGATGCCTGTCCCGTGTTTGACATTGCCCAACCAGTAATTACGTCTCCTACCTTCGCCTTCAACAATGCCTTGCATGACGGTCTTGTACAGGCTATTGAGTCTTGTAATGTGTCCAAATCATTTTTCTCCATTTGACAGTAGTGAGAAGTGGTTCATGGTGGCCCACAAAACTTTCGACCCTTTTCCGCACAAACTCATTCGTTTATATTCCAATAGAAGATGCCAAGGAGTTTTCTCATGCATTTGTTCTCAAAGTTTTCAATCCTTTTCTCTGTTTCTGCTAACAGTATCAACCTTTCAAATCCATATAAGTGAATGTGAGTTATGTGAGTTATAACAATAATCTTACAATAAGAACTTATACTCTCTCTCTCTCTCTCTCTATATATATATATATATATTATAACACATATATATATATATTATACTATATATATATATATATATATATATATATTATATATATATATATATATATATATATATATATATATATATATATATAAAATGCCACTTAAGATTATCGCATAAACTTTCATAACTGAATCAATAAGCTGGCAGATCCTCATACGTCGAAACCGACGGGAGAATCCATTATTATATATATATATATATATATATATATATATATATATATATATATATAAGGAGTAGTATATTTCTTTATAATATGTCTTAGGGGAGATTCGTCTTGTTTGTAATTAATATGCATTTGGTTTTTGTAATAAATGTGTATGTGATTTTTGGCTGGGTGTTCACTATCGTTATTACTTGCTTTGGGAAGAAATAATCTAATTTGGTGGTCTATAAGCTGGTTAGGGAACTAATCAACAACGCTAACCTTATCGTCAAATATATATATATATATATATATATATATATATATATATATATTGATGCACAAAAGTAAGTGAATCCTTAAGAAAATATTAAGAAAAGTTTCCTTTTTTCCAGTTAATCAACAAATCTTAATTAAACAATATATTCATTATGAAAAACCTGCAAAATTTTCAATTTTTTATACTGTAATAAAATAATAATAATAAAGATATGCAAAACAGAGGGAACCCTTATATATCTTATCTGGTGACTCCTGCTTTTGAGGTCACCACGTCGACCAGACTTTTTCTATAATTTTTAAGAAGTTTCTAGCACAGCGAGCTGTTCTGGGTATGAGAATAAACTACATCCGCGTCCTGGGTAAGACGATAAATTACGTCCAGCAGCATGGTCTTTGATAAGGTGGTTTTGAGAAACGTGGAACCACCTCTTAATTGCAGGTGTTCCCACGTCCTGTTAGGGTCCCAGCTATGGGAAAATAGTTAACCCCCAAACTGAAGTCAAAACACTATGAAAGTGTAAAAATAGGTTTTAATATCAGAAATACTTTGCAAAAAATTATTACGAGCAATAAAATTTGAAGAAAAATTATTACCAGCAATACATTATTACCAGTAATCCACTTTTGAAAAAAAAAATTATCAGCAATAAAAATCTTGTCGGCATTAAATAACCCATTGATGTTGATGTGTTGTAAAGTAAACTAAACCAAACTAAACCAGCTATACATTTCAGCAAAAAAATTACCTGCTATAGATTTTTGAAAAAAGAATATTACGATCAATAGATTTTTGAAGAAAAAAAAAAAAAAAATTAAAAATTCTCGGCATTGAATAACCAATTGAGATTGATGTACTGTAAAATAAATCAAACCAAACCATTTCAGCAAAAAATTACCTTCTATACATTTTTGAAAAAAAATACCAGTAATAAACTTTTGAAGAAAAAAAATATAAAAAATAAAAATTGTCGGCATTAAATAACCCATTGGGATTAATGTATTGTAAAATAAAACAAACCAAACCAAACCAAATACATTTCTGAAAAATTGATACCTGCTATACATGTTTGGAAAACAAAATATTACCAGCAATATATTTTTGAAGAAAACAATATTACCAGAAATAAAAATAAGGTTGATATGCTGTAAAACAAATCAAACCAAACCAAACCAAACCAAGGCAGCTATATATTTTTGAAAAAAAATTACTTGCTATATATTTTTTAAACAAAAAAATATTACG